TGCTGCCCAGCCAGCAATGCCCTCATCCTGTGAATGAATAAAGGAAAAAAAAAATAAAGCAAATAGGTGTGTCCAGAACCAGGGGTCACAGTCTGAGGATTCAGGGTAGACCATTTAGGATGGAGATGAGGAGACATTTCTTCACCTAAAGTGTATTGAGTTTGTGGAATTCATTACCACAGGAAGTAGTTGATGCCAAAATGTTTTTTGAATGTAATCAAGAGGCGGCTAAACATAGCACTTGGGGTGAATGGGATCAAAGGTTATAGGGAGAAAGCAGGATTAAGCTATTGAGTTGGATGATCAGCCATGATCATGAAGAATGGTGATGCAGGCTGGAAGTGTTGAATGGCCTCCTCCTGCTCCTATCTTCTATGTTTCTACATAAATGCAATCTGTATAGTTAGCAGACAATACATTTTTGCAATTTATTCTTTCACGGAACGTGGCTGTCTCAGGCATTTATTACACATTTTAAATTGTCCCAGAAATGGAGTGGTGTATTTGGCCATTTTATTTAGTCAAACACTGCTGTGACTCCACAGGCATATATAGGACAGACTGGGTAAGGATGGCAGATTTCCTTCCCTAAAGCTCATTATTGAACTAGTTGGGTTTTGATAACAATTGATAACAGCTGTTCATGATTAATTTTCAATTTCAGAATTATTAATTGAACTTAAATTCCACCTTGGTGAGATCAGAACTTGTGTCATCAGAGCATTAACCTGGATCTTTGGTTTTCTACTGTAGTGATGTAGAATGACCTGGGTGGACAGGGTTTGATGGGTAATGTAACAATAGTCAATGGCCTGCAGTTTGCTGAATTGTATTTTTGTGATGGAGTTTATAGGTTCATCAGCAGAAATTTGAAGAATATACTAAGCTGTGAGAAACAGGAGGGACTCTGCTTGGATTTCTGCTATTAGCAGACTGACCTGATCAGAGTTAGGAGGCATGGGATTCAGGGAAATTTGGCAGTCTGGATACAAAACTGGCTGTCCAATAGAAGACAGAGGGTGGTAGTAGATGGAAAGTATTCAGCCTGGAGCTCGGTGACCAGTGGTGTTCCGCAGGGATCTGTTCTGGGGCCTCTGCTCTATGTGACCTTTATAAATGACTTGGATGAGGAAGTGGAAGGGTGGGTTAGTAAGTTTGCCAATGACACGAAGGTTAGTGGAGTTGTGGACAGCGTGGGGGGCTGTTATAGGTTGCAACCGGACATTGACAGGATGCAGAGCTGGGCAAAGAAGTGGCAGATGGAATTCAACCAGGAAAAGTGTGAAGTGATTCAGTTTGGAAGGTTGAATTTGAATGCAGAATATAGGGTTAATGACAGGATTCTTGGCAGTGTGGAGGAATAGAGGGATATTGGGGTCCATGTCCATCCATCCCTCAAAGTTGCTACCCAAGTTGATAGGGTTGTTAAGAAGGCACATGGTGTGTTGGTTTTCATTGGAAGGGGAATCGAGTTTAAGAGCCGCGAGGTTATGCTGCAGCTCTATAAAACTCTGGTTAGACCACATTTGGAATATTGTGTTCAGTTCTGGTCGCCTCATTATAGGAAAGATGTGGAAGCTTTAGAGAGGGGACAGATGAGATTTACCAGGATGCTGCCTGGACTGGAGGGCAGGTCTTATGAGGAAAAGTTGAGGGAGCTAGAGCTTTTCTCATTGGAGCAAAGAAGGATGAGAGGTGACTTGATAGAGGTGTACAAGATGATGAGGGGCATAGATAGAGTGGATACCCAGACACTTTTTCCTAGGGCAGAAATGACTATTATGAGGGGGCATAATTTTAAGGTGATTGAAAGAAGGTATGGGGAGATGTCAAAGGTAGGTTCTTTACAGAGAAAGTGGTGGGTGCGTGGAATGCACTGCTGGCAGGGGTAGTGGAGACAGATACATTAGTGACATTTAAGCGACTCTTGGATAGGCACATGGATGATAGTAAAATGTGGAGTACGCAGGGTAGTTTGATCTTAGAGTAGGATAACAGATCGGCACAACTTCATGGGCCGAAGGGCCTGTACTGTTCTATGTTCTATGTAACTCAGGGCTACAGATCATTCCCACACCTGATTGGCCCCCAGTGTTCGGATAATTCCGGGAAGGTTGAGCTTGCTTGTGATGACCTATGTGGTCGAATTGCCCACCTGGAGCTGATAGCATGCAGCGTGGGTTTTTGAACCACGAGCAAAAAGTCAGCTCATGAGGTAAAACTGGAATCCAAAATGTACAATTGAGGATGGGGTTGAAAATCGACTTGCGGGGGGCAGCAATTAAAATCCTACAACTTTGCAAGGACCAGGTGCTAAGCAGGTAGTGATACATGACAACATTGTGATAATGTTCACTTTGAATTACTGTCCAATTCCTACCTGCTGACTCTAGTTGCCAGGAGTTACAAACATATGTCAGGATGTGCTCAGTATACAATGGGGAATAAGCTTCTGGATGAATAATGGGAGGGACACAGCCCATGGAACATTACACCTAGAGTTAGTCATCTCTTCCTGCAGCAGCCTGTCCTCAGTTACGGTCTCTCTCTCTCTCTCTGCTCACTCTCTTTGTTGAAACAAAGCCAGAAATGTTGATTCACCTGAAAGCTGTCAGGCAAAGAAAGTCCATTCCCCTGGTATCAAGACCTGTTCCGGAGACTGGTACACAGAATCTGAGTCAACACTCCCAGTGCAGTGTTGTTGTGT